ATAAAGGCTACATCCAAAGGCTGCAAGGGACATATGTGGCACCATAAATCTCTGGGTTTAGGATAGGTCCCAAAGCGCTGACCTGTAAGAGCAAGACAGTGAAGGCCCAGGAGTTACAGCTCAACTTTTGCATGGGTGGTCCAGCAGTTTTCACTGCTCTTATTAAACATTGCAGTTGAAGATCTTCCAAGTGTTAAAAATGAAGAAAAGAAATACACATAAAAAGGTTTGAAAAGAAGGCACAGAACTCTTATAATTTGCAAATGGTAATATGCTGAATGCAAAAAAAAATACAAGATTAGAACATTCTTGACGTTAATAAGATAGTTTTGCAGGGCAGGAAGAAAAAAATTACAGAGGTGTTTTGCACAGACAGAAGATGAAAATTTAACAAATTGATAGAGCAAAAGTGCATTTACATAAACTTCTAAAACTACACCTGACAAATTCTGTACAAGGTATCAATTGGGATATTTAAAAATCCCTACTGAGTAATTACAGAAGACAGTAATTAATAAGACAATTAATTAACCAAATAGACTTGCCAAGATCCTGGCTTGAAGATTTAATATTATGATATTAATTTCCTACAATGCTCTAAGAACTCAAATACATCTCAATTAAATGTTTATCAAGCATTTGTGACACTTATTAAGCTGACTTTAAGCCTTATATAGAAATAGGAAAGACAAAAAATAGCCACGACACTCTAAATAAGAATAATGAGCAGAGAGAATTTCCTTAGCAGATAGGAAGATTTATGTTAGAGTTACTTTAATTAAGAGAGTCGGGGTGTTTAGGAAGGGGTAGTAGCCTAGATCTTTGGAACAGAATAGAAAGCTCTGAGCATAGTTAAAGGAGATAGCATTACAGATCAGTGGGTAAAGGAAAACTATTTAGTAAGTAATTTAAATACAGCTGGTTATCTATATGGAAAAATGCAATTGTCCTTATCTCTTGTAAAAACATTCTTTAAAATAATAAAGTAGAATATCTTCATTACTTTAGGGTAGGGAAAGTTTTTTTTTGTTTGTTTGTTTCTGTTGTTGTTTGTTTGTTTGTTTGTTTGTTTGTTTTTGATGGAGTTTTGCTTTTGTTGCCCAGGATGGAGCACAATGGTGCGATCTCAGCTGACTGAGCAACCTCCGCCTCCCGAGTTCAAGTGATTCTCCTACCTCAGCCCCCCGCCACCCCCAAGTAAATGGGATGCACCACTACACCTCGCTAATGTTTTTTTGTAATTTTAGTAAAGATGGGGTTTCTCCATGTTGGTCAGGCTGGTCTCGAACTCCCGACCTCAGGTGATCCTCCTGCCTCAGCCTCCCAAAATGTAGGATTCCAGCAAAGTATTCACCACAGGGTAACCTTTGACAGAATTAAATACATTAATGTTGAGCACCCAGATTATTTGAGGTTTTCCATTCCCCAGTGGACAGTGGTATATGACTAAATGTTCCTCTGGGAAAGACCTGTAGAAAGAATATATCTAGCACAAAAGGGCCTCTGACATATCAACTGGCTTTGGTGTAACTACTAAGTAAGAATTTCTGAATACCCAGGACTCAAGATTGGTGACTGTTCAGCAGTCCTAGCAGTTTTTATACCCATATGTGTCATGCCTTGGTGAGGGGGCATCCTGTCAGCCCTCCAAGGAGACATGGTTAGGAGATGGCTAAGCAGGTTGCACATAGTGGATACATTCCCACTTTCCTATCTCTCTGAGCTGCATTCAGACACCTTCCTCTGCAGCATGCCTGTGATAGGGACTCTGTTGATATAGGCTAGTGGTTTTCACAAACTGTTGCATATAGTAAAATCTGGAGAGATTATTTCTTTTAATAAAATCAGGGCTCCAGCATGTTAAACTAGAATATCTGGACCTCTATACTTTTGCTACAATTCCCAGATAATTTTGATACACAAGAAATATTGAGAATCACTGCTGTGAGCCACTGCTTTTTAACTTGACTGTTGATTGGAGTCAAACCTGGAGAGTTTTATGAACAATACTGTTTCTGGGATCCTACTTTTGATGAGTTAGATTTAGTTGGTTTTACTTGTTGATCTAGACCTGGAACTGTTTAAAATCTCCCACATAATTTAAAGTGCAGACAAATTTGAGAAACACTGTGCTAGGCCACAGTTGAATTCAGGTTTTAATGAGCTAACATGGCTGAGTATTAACATCACTCTTAGGTGTTCAAAACAGCACATTTAATCTGAGATACTGAGTGAAGATCCAATATTAATGAATCCAGGCCAATCATATCTCATTTCTCCCTGAATCAATACCAAAAGCCAGGGGAGAAATCCCTCCAACCAGTTCTCCTCCAATTAATGATGGGTAGCTCAGGTCACATGGTCATTTGGTGGCCCATAGTGAATCATTCAGTCTCTACTAAGGCCCAGCTACAAGCCAAAAGCTTTTCTCAAAAGGAGAGTTGTTATCTGCAGAGGGTGGCAAGGCTTTGCTCATGGCTCCCAGTCCTGCCACATTACCTTTTCTCTCCCAGCATGCATCTAAAATCATTCTCTGTGATTCACTTACAGGAGGCTGCCAAAGCCTCAAGGTAGGTCTCTGTCTCCCTCTGTTGGATCCACTGGATCATTTTATTCAAGTGGCAGAGTAACTTGCACAGCATCCTGGACCTGCTGCAGAGCCTTCTTATGTTCTGGGCCCTACTCAAAACTAGCTGCTTTTCAGGTCACTCAATAAATGGGCTAGAGTAGCAAACCCACATGAGGAACATGCTGCCTCTGAAATGACAGTGCAGTGGGTGTTGTGCTTGCCTTTTGGCTGTAGGAGGAGCCAGATACAACATGTTATCCTTCACCTTAGAAGAACTATTTTAATCTGCCCCCATCACTGGACCCCTAGAAATTTCACTGTGGGGTGGGTGAGGGACTCCTGATTTTTATCAGATGAATTTCCCATGCTCTGACACAGAAATTTCTCTTTAATAAGTCTAGAGTAGTTGCTTCTTGTTTACTAGATCCAGTCAGCATAATGTCATCCATGGTATGGGTCAGTGCAGTGTCTTGTGGATGGGAAAGGTGATCAAGTTTCTTGCAGACTAAATTATAATATAGGGCTGCAGAATTGCAGAACTAATATAGCCCTGCGGTAGGACACTGTACGTGTATTCCTGGTCTTGGCAGTTGAAAGTAAACTTTCTTGTGCTCTTTAGTAGTGGATCCAGGGAAAAGCAGTTGCCATATCAATAGCTGCATACCAGGTAACAGATGTCTTAATTTGTTCAAGTAATAAAACCACATCTGGGACAGTGGCTGCATATAAGGTCCCAATCTAGTTAAATTTATAGTTATCAATCAGCATCTTTAAGATTCATTGGTTTTCCACACTGATCAAATAAATCAGATGAATTTGCATTTGATGGGAATTGTTCTGCCTGTATATTTTAACCTTTTGATGATGGCACTAATCCCTGTACTTTCTCCAGAAATGTAATATTGCATGTGGTTTACTATTTTTTAAAATAATGACGGTTCTACTGGATTCTACTTACTGATTTAACCTTAGGAGCCCTCACTCCTTAGGTCAAGGTTCTGGGGGAGTGGCTGAGATGGCTGGCTAAACGCACCTAGGATGTGTGACTCTCATGGAGAGGAATGAAAGGGGCAAATAAATGGAGCACCTTCAACTGAAACGTTCAGGTACTTGCATTGGGATTAATCAAGGAAACAACTCAACCCATGGAGCTTTAGATACTCTAGAATTCTGGCTTCCTGGCAAAAGTAAGTGCAGCTCTGGCAAGGTGGGATATTAGACCCCCATACATACTGCTAGGAAAGAGGCTAAATTCACAGGGCTGCAGGCCCCACTCCATATCACGTGACAGGACGAGATTCTTTTGGCTTGGGATTCTATCCACAGCATCAGTGTTGTGCCTAACTGGGACAGAGCTCCCTGGGGAGGGGTGGGCCCCCAACTTTGCTGTTTGTATGACTATGCCATTCCAGCCTTCCAATTTCAGAGTGTCCAAGGCAGCCAGAGGTCAAAGCGGAACCCCAGCACAGCATAGCTGCTCTACAAAAACATGGCCAGACTATGTTTTAAAGTAAATCCCCAATGCTGTTCCTTCTGACTGGGCAAGACCTTCCAACCAGGTTCCCTAGCACCTCCTACAGGTGTGTTTGGGCTGGCAACAGGCCCGTACTTCCCTGAGACAGAGCTCTCAGAGGAATGGGCAGACTGCCATCTTTGTTGTCACATAAGTTTTACTGGTGATACCTCCAGATACTGGAAAATCTGAGGCAACCAGAAACTGGAGCAGGTCCCTAGCAAACTGCAGCAGCCCTACAGAAAAGTGGCCAGACTGTTAAAAGAGAAAGCAAAAGAGGAGAAAAACAAAATCGATTCAAAGATCAGCAACCTCAAAGATTGAAGGTAGATAAGCCCACAAAGACAAAAAGAATCAGCAAAAGAATGCTGAAAACTAAAAAGCTAGCAATGAGAACCAGGTTAAGGCTGAGATGGCTGAAACAACAGAAGTAGAATTGGGAACATAAATAGAAATGAATTTCACTATGATAAAGGAGTACACTGTAATCCAATGCAAGGAAGCTTAAAAGCATGATAAAACATTGCAGGAGCTGAACAGCAAAATAGCTAGTATAAAGAAGAATGGCGGGGCGCGCTGACTCAAGCCTGTAATCCCAGCACTTTGGGAGGCCGAGGCGGGTGGATCACGAGGTCAAGAGATCGAGACCATCCTTGTCAACATGGTGAAACCCCATCTTTACTAAAAATACAAAAAATTAGCTGGGCATGGTGGTGCATGCCTGTAATCCCAGCTACTCAGGAGGCTGAGGCAGGAGAATTGCCTGAACCCAGGAGGTGGAGATTGTGATGAGCTGAGATCGTGCCATTGCACCCCAGCCTGTGTAACAAGAGCGAAACTCCTTCCCAAAGTAAAAAAATGAATGTAACCAACCTGACAAAGCTGAAAAACACTATAAGAATTTCATAGTATACTCACCAGTATTAGTAGCAGAATAGAGGAAGTGGAGAAAAGAATCTCAGTGATTGAAGACTGGCTTTCTGAAATAAAACAGGAAGACAAGAATAGAGAAAAAAGAATGAAAAGGAATCAGCAAAACCTCCCAGAAACATGGGATTATGTAAATAAACTGAATCTATGAATAATTGGCGTACCTGAAAGAGATGGGGAGAGTGGAACCAATCTGGAAAACATTTCAGGACATCATTCATGAGAACTTCCGCAACCTAGCTAGACAGGCTAACATTCAAATTCAGAAATGCAGAGGACCCTGGCAAGTTACGACATGAGAAGATCATTCCCAAGACATATAGTCATCAGATTCTCCAGGTTTTAAATGAAAGAAAAAACATTAAGGGCAGCCAGAGAGAAAGGCCAGGTCACCTCCACAGGGAAGCCCATTAGACTAAGAGTGGACCTCTCAGAGGAAACCCTACAAGCCAGAAGCAATGATGGCCAATATTGAACATTCTTAAAGAAAAGAATTTCCAACAGAATTTCATATCCAGCCCAACTAAGCTTTATAAGCAAAAAAAAAAAAAAAAAAAAAAAAAGAAATAAGATTCTTTTCAGACAAGCAAATGCCATGGGAATTCATTACCACCAGTCTTGCATTACAAGAACTCCTGAAGGAAGTACTAAATATGGAAAGGAAAGACAGTTACCAGCCACAACAAAAAACACACTGAAGTACACAGACTAGTGACACAATAAAGCAACCATGTAAGCAAATCTGCAAAGTAACCAGCTAACATCATGATGACAGGATCAAATCCATACATATCAGTACTAACCTTTAAAGCAAATGTCTTAATGCCCTACTTAAAAGACACAGAGTGGCAAGCTGGATAAAGAACCAAGACTTATCAGTATGCTGTCTTCAATACGCCCATCTCACATGCAATAAGACACAGAGGCTCAAAATAAAAGGATGGAGGAAAATTTATCAAGCAAATGGAAAGCAGAAAAAAGTTGGGGTTACAATCCTAGTTTCTGACAAAACAGACTTTAAACCAACAAACATCAGAAAAGACAAAGGGCATTACATAACGTTAAAGGGTTCCATTCAACAAGGAGATCTAACTATCCTAAATATATATGCATCCATACAGGAGCATCCAGATTCATAAGGCAGGTTCTTAGAGACCTTCAAAGAGACTTAGAATCTCACACAATAATAGGAGATTTTAGTATCCCACTGACAATGTTAGACAGATCATCAAGACAGAAAATTAACAAAGATATTCAGGACCTGAACTCAGCCCTTGATCAAATGGAACTGATAGATATCTATAGAACTCTCCATCCCAAAACAACAGAATATACATTTTTCTCATTGCCACATGGCACTTACTCTAAAATATATCACACAATCAGGAGTAAAACACTCCTCAGCAAATGCAAAAGAACTGAAATAATAACAAACAATATCTCAGACCACAGTGCAATCAAAATCAAGAAAAAGAAATTCACTCAAACCATATAATTACAGAGAGATTGAATAACCTGTTCTTGAATTACTTTTGGATAGATAATAAAGTGTTTTCAAATTAATGAGAACAGAGATTCAATGTGCCAGAATCTCTAGGAAACAGCTAAGGCAGTGTTAAGAGGGAAATTTATAGCCTTAAATGCCTACATCAAAAAGTTAGAAAAATCTCAATTCAACAACCTAAAATCACAACTAAGAGAACTTGAGAAAGGAGAGCAAACATATCCCAAAGCTAGCAGAGTACAAGAAATAACCAAAAAAATTAACAAAGATATTATCTCCCAAAGGAGACAGAAAGACACAAAACACCATTCAAAAGTTCAGTGAAGTGGGGAGGTTTAAAAAAATTAGTAAAATATATAGACCACTAGATACACTAATAATGAAGTAAAGAAAGAAAATTCAAATAAACACAATTAGAAACAGTAAGAGGAACATTACCACTGACCCCATAGAAATACAAGCAACCACCAGAACATATTATGAACTCCACTATGCACATAAACTAGAAAATCTAGAAGAAATGGATAAATTCATGGACACATATACCACCCCGAAGACTGAACCAAGAAGAAACTGAATCTCTGAACAAATAATGAGTTCTGAACTTGAGGCAGTAATAAACAGCCTACCAAACCACAAAAAAGCCCAGGACCAGATGATTGACAGATGAATTCTATTAGATGTACAAAGAAGAGATGGTACCATTTCTACTGAAACTCCTCCCTAACTCATTCTATAAGGTAGATCATCCCGATATCAAAATATGGTGGAGATACAACAACAACAAAAAAGAAAACATCAGGCCAATATTCTTGATGAACAGTGATACAAAAATCTTGAACAAAATACTGGCAAACCGAATCGAACAGCACATCAGAAATCTTACCCATCACAATTAAATAGGCTTCATCCCTAGGATACAAGTTTGGTTGAATGGATGCAAATCAATAAATGTGATTCATCACATAAACAGAACAAAAAACCAATACCACATGATTATTTCAGTAGATGCAAAAAGGCCTTTTGATAAAATTCAACATATATTCATATTTTTAAAAAACTCTCAATAAACTAGGCATTGAAAGAACATACCTCAAAATAGTAAAAGCCATTTATGACAAACCCATAGCCAACATCATACTGAACGGGAAAAGCTAGAAGCATTCCCCTTGAAAATTGACACAAGACAAGAATGCCTTCTCTCACTACTCGCATTTAATATAGTATTGGAAGTTTAGGCAAGTGAAATAAATAAAGACTATTCAAATAAAAAGAGAAGAAGTCAAACTATTCCTGTTTGCAACTGACATAATTCTACATCTAGAAAAACCCACAGGCTCAGCTCAAAGGGTTCTTAAGCTAATAAACAACAGCAGCAAAGTCTCAGGATACAAAATCAATGTGCAAAAATTACTAGCATTTCTACATGTCAACAACAGGTAAGCCAAGAGCCAAATCAGGAATGAACTCCCATTCACAATTGCCACAAAAACAATAAAATACCTAGGAATTCAGCTAACCTGTAGCAGTAAAAGATCTCTACAAGGAGAACTACAAACCACTGTTCAAACAAATGGAAAAGTTTCCTATGCTTATGGATAGGAAAAATCAATATCATGAAAATGGCCATACTGCCCAAAGCAATGTTTAGATTCAATGCTATTCCTATCAAACTACCATTGACATTCTTCACAAAACTAGAAAAAATTATTTAAAAATTCACATGGAACCAAAAAAGAGCCCAAATCGCCAAACCAATTCTAGGCAATAGGACCAAAGCTGGAGTTATCATGGTACTTGATTTTAACTATACTTCAGAGCTGCAGTAAGGAAAACAGCATGGTACTGGTACAGAAACAGACAGTGTTTTAATGGAACAGAATAGAGAACCCAGAAATAACACCACACACCTACAACTATAATCTTTGACAAACCTGACAAAAACAAGCAATGGGGAAAGGATTCCCTTTATAAATGGTGCTGGGATAACTGGCTAGCCATAGGCAGAAGATTAAAATTGAACTCCTTCCTTATACCATATACAAAAATCACTTCAAGATGGATTAAAGACTTAAATGTAAAACCAAAAACTATAAAAACCTTGGAAGACAATCTAGGCAACACCACTCAGGACACAGGCATGAGCAACAATTTTTTGACAAAGACACCAAAAGCAAGTGAAACAAAAGGAAAAATTGACAAAGGGGATCTAATTCAATTAAAGAGGTTTTGCACAGTGCAAGAAATTATCAACAGAATAAACAGACAGCCTACAGAATGGGGGAATTTTTTTTTTGCAAACTATGCATCTGACATAGGTCTAATATCTAGCATTTTTAAGAAACTTAAACAAATTTACGATAAAAAAACTACATTAAAAAGTAGGCAAAGCATATTAACAAACACTTTTCAAAAAAAAGACATACATGCAGCCAACAAACATATGAAAAAAAAGCTCAGCATCACTGATCATTAGAGAAATGCAAATCAAAACCACAATGAGATGCCATCTTACACCAGACAGAATGGCTATTATTAAAAACTCAAAAAATAACAGAAGCTGCCAAGGTTGTGGAGAAAAAGGAACGCTTAGAAACTGTTGTTGGGAGTGCAAATTAGGCCAGCCATAGTGGAAGACAGTGTGGTGATTTCTGAAAGATCTAAAGACAGAAATACCATTATACCCAAAGAAAGATAAATCATTCTATTATAAGGGCACACGCCCACACATATTTTTATTGCAGCACTATTCACAATAGCAAAGACATAGAATCAACTTAAATGCCCTTCAGTGATAGATTGGATAAAGACAATGCGGTACATATATACTGTAGAATACTCTGCAGACAGCAAAAGGAACGAGATCATGTCCTTTGCAGGGACATGAATGGAGATTGAGGCCATTATCCTTAGCAAACTAATGCATGTTCTCACTTACAAGTGGGAGCTAAAGGATGAGAATTTAGAGGGGAAAATAGAGGGAAACAATATTGGAAAATAGAGGGGAACAGCACACACCGGGGCCTTTCAGAAGATGGAAAGTGGGAGGAGGGAGAAGATCAGGAAAAATAACAAATGGGTACTAGGCTTAAAACCTGAGTGATTAAATAATCTGTGAAAAAAACTCCCACAACTTTACATATAAACAGCCTGTCCTTGTGCCCCTGAACTGAAAATGAAAGTTAAAATAAGGAACTGATCTGCAGATTCTGCTTGATGCTGAGTAGGTCTATTTCAATTACGCAAACTAGCGCTGAGGAAATAATCGCAGGGTGGGTCAGGGGCCCACTGGCCCATGAGAGAATGGTTCATGTATGTTAGGGCTTCCGGTTTTCTATTCTTCCTAATTTAATCTTGGTAGGTTGTCACCAGGAATGTATCCGTTTCCTCCAGGTTTTCCAGTCTGTCAGTACAGAATTGTTCATAATAGGCTCTGATGATCATTCACATCTTTTTGGTATCAGTTGTAATGTTTCTCTTTTCTGATGATCTTTGAGTCTTCTCTTTTTCTTGGTTTATCTAGCTAGTGGTTTATCACTTTTGCTTATCTTTTCAAAGAACAAAGTTTTTATTTTGTTGATCATTTACGTGGTTTTTAAAAGTATTTAGTTCTGCTCTGATCTTTATTATTTTTTCTGCTAATTTTGATGTGGTGGTTGTTGCTTTTCTAGTTCCTTGGGGTTCATTGTTACATTGTTAATTTGTAATGTTTCTGCTTTTCTAAGGTAGGCATTTATTGGTATAAACTTCCCATTTAGCCCTGTTTAGCTGTATCCCACAGGTTTTGATATGTTCTGTTTCCATTTTCATTTGTTTCAAGAAACTTTTTGATTTCCATCTTAATTTCTCTGTTGACTCAATGATTATTCAGGAGCATGTTGTTTAATTTCTATATATTTGTCCAGCTGCCAAAGTTTCTCTTGGTGTATATTTTTAGTTTTTTTCCACTGTGGCCAGAGAAGATATTTGATATGATTTTAATTTTTGGAAATTTATTGAAACTTGTTTTGTGGCTTAACATAGGCTCTCTC